AAACTTATTTTACTGTCTGTGACAGTAATATAACCTTAATACACTATCTATGACATTAACAGATATGTGGGACTGAAATAAAGAATGTAATACAACAAAATTACCATTTCTTGCATCTTTCGCCATGGCACTCAAAAGAATACCTTTGTATCTACCCTTCAGAAATGTTCCATCCAAAAAAAGAATCGGACGGCAAAACTTAAATCCGGACAGACAAGCACCAAAACTGAAGAAACAACGATCAAACGAGTTATGCTTCTCATCAACTTCCAGGTGAAACACACTGTCTGGATTGCAACGCCCAGCTTCTTCAAAATACACTTTCAGGTACGAATAAGATATTCCATCGTCTCCAAACACAAAACTCCGACTAGATTCCATAGCTCTCCATGCTGTATTGTAGTCAATATCAATCCCATAATTCTTTTTGGCGTCATGAATAACGTCATTAGCACACAACAACGGCTTATTCCGAATGTCCTCCACGATTAAATCAGCTACGAGCTTAACGCACATTTTAACCTTCTTGACAGCACTAAATGCCGACTCACACGTGTGATGTTTCTCATATGTGCGAATAATACAATATTCGGTTGAAGGTTGAACTGTAGCATGAATTCTCCACAAACAATTTTTCTCCTGTCTAAGCTTACAAACTGCAGTCACTCTCTTCGTATCGTTTTTGATAAAATCGAATCCAAATCCAAGCTCATACGCAAACTTAGCCAAACATATTCTAAATTCTGAACGTCCCCCACGGAAAACTTGTCCAACATCAGTTATCAGATTTATCCAATGTGAGCTAAGCAAAGTCTTTCTGGGGGCAATGGAACGTAATGTGTTGCATGGGGGATTAACTGCTGCTTCAATTGCAGCAACAGGTAACACACTCGACGAACCTACCATAGAGCTGTAACTAGTATCAGACGTACCAATAGATGCATGAACTTGCTTTACAACAATTTCAATCCTCTGAATCGACCATTGTTCCACAATAATAAATAACCCTTTTACATCTTCATTATCGTTGATTGAAAAAACACCAATCTCAGGAACAGAGTACGATAATGACAGGTTATCAACACTTAAAGAATTCCATCTTGAACAAACAAAATGCACAAGATTGGAAAAACTCATCCCTCTTGTAAAATCTGTGATCGAACAAAATTCACCATATCTAAACAATAACACAATAGAACTAGTCATCCTGCAATTGCATATAAAACATAATTATACTGTTAATAACAGTCACATTACTAATACATCAAGTAAATCTCTTTGTGCATTCAATTATACTGCCAATGACAGTATCATTATATAAACACATGCAAACAAACATAGGAAAACATAAATACACTGCTGACAACAGTCATATTACTAATACATCAAGTAAATTCGCCTATACATTCAATTATACTGCCAATGGAAGTCAAATTACATTAACAACCAGCGAAATAAACATACACATGCAATTATACTGCCAATCGCAACAACATTATATAAAAAAAAATAGCGTAAAAACAAAAATACACAACAAACAAAAAACCACAATTCTGTAAACAATAATTGAACGCCCATACATCATGGTGTTCAATTTACTACAATTCAATCTATACATATAGCAATGTTGAAATTTGTAACTTAAAAAAACATTCGCATGCAGATAAAAAAAATTGACACACCTTCGTTGAAAATAATATGATCGGCGGTAAAAGCTAGACACGACGGCCGGCGAGAAACGACGGCCGGCGAAAAACGACGGCCGGCGAGAAACAGGTAGACGCAGCTCAGTTTCAAGATATAGAGTTGCAGAGAGGGATTCGGGGGAGAATAGAGAAGAATCACGCAGAATTCATAAAAAACGAGCTTAGGGCTTTCACATTAAATACAGGGGCAATTATGTCCGAAAAAAGACCCTTTCCTTGATTTTAAATAAACTTTTAAGTATTGGGTTTATTTGCAAGACAAAAAAACTGAATGTCCCTTTTTTAATTAAGTCCATGTGTCATGGGCCTATTTGCCATTACCCCTAATTAATTTATATATTAATCTTTAGTAAGTTATTAGTCATTTTTTAGTGTAAAATTAAGTTGTTGTATAGATACTTCAAAATAAAATTTCGGTTTTCACTACGTATCTAATTACCGAAATTTTGGAAACTCCAACACATGGAGCCGTCTCTCCAGTGCGGCTTAGTCCTCTTATTGTCCAAGTCCATGTAAAATTTCCACTTTCATAGCAGCACCAAATTGTTATCAGACACAAAGGTAGAACAGAAGCCCTAGATCGACCATGTCTCTCACCGAGTTGACTCACAAATACTCAACTAAGAATTAACTCACTCAAAGGGTCGAGACACTCACAAAGTTCTTCTTTTCTCACTAAGTTTTTTCTGCGCACACTCCGTCACTGAAGATCGGAGAAGAAAAGGAGAAAAAAAAAATGAACATTGTCACACCTCTCTCTCATACGATGCAACAGTCAAGGACAACAAAGTTATCTTGCAATGCTCTCCATTTACGACGACGAACGTTGAAGAAAGTTGCCGGAAAATGATATGGAAAAAACATAAGAGGTACAATAGAAGAGGAGTGAGAAACGATGTTGCAAAAGAGAGATAGGATTTCCGATCTTAGCTTATAAAGAATAGGATGGACGGTCAAGACCAAACTGTTTAAATTAAACGGTCAAGATCAGTCAAACCATTTAAATCAGACTTAATTTGACTATTGGGCTGATCCTAGGAATTGGGGTTGCTAGATTAGGAATTGGGGTTGCTAGATTACTGTGTTTGTGGGACCTAATCACACAATAGAAAACACATATTGGGGGGCCACATACACTAACATCATCAACAACCAAACAAAAAAAATTCGGTATTTGGCCGAATTTTGATTCTTTACGATTTAGTCGGTTTACATGATCAATGAACGCCGCTAAGCTAGTTATCCTTAAAAAGTGATGGTGTGCTAAAACAGATGCATCGGTATGAATTTTTTGCCAATGTTAGTAACATGGAGAGAATTTAACATTTTCGAAATGACATTTTTTTTAAAGTTATGTGACGATCAATTAACTACGTTGATAAAGTTCTATGTATAATAGGTCTAATATTTCAAAATAATTGATGAATTATAAATGCCACAACAATTGAACTGCTCTCGTTCCCATATTATTTAATGTTTTGGATGTTGCTCATACATTAAGAAAATTAATAAATATGAATGTATATTATAATAAAAATTATTAAAAGAAAATCACTAAAATGTCATTATTATTAATTGTTTCTCATCTAACTAAGGGAAAAATTGAGAGATAAAAAATGTAATTAATATTTTATTGGAATAATAAAGTGACGAACAATTTGGAAAAAAGGAAAAAAATAACCTCTTCAAAGAGACAAATATTGTGGGACATACCATATATTAAGTTTTAATATATATATATATATATATATATATATATATATATATATATATATATATATATATATATATATATATATATATATATATATAACATAAACATTAGATTTTACTTCCTCTGTTCTACAATATTCGTCTTTTTTTCAAGAATTTTTTTGTTCCATAGTATTTGTCACTTTACAATTTCAATACTGCATTAATTACATATTTTTCAATTATACCATTATTAACTCTCTAGCACTCTTTCTGCATTAATTAGTGAACGATGGTATTTTGATCTATTTATATTTATTTTCCTAAAATCAAGACATATTTATTAAAATTTTTAAGACTCGTGCCAAGGTGAGAAACGACATATATTTAGGAACGGAGGAAGTAGGAATTAGAGTTAAAATGGAGAATCTAAATCGGATTGCAAATGATAAATGAAATATTTATTACATACTTATCCTATAATAAATGCAAAAATCAGATTAATGAATTAATGGATAATTAACAAAATAAAGCATACGTCATTGATTAAGCACAATTATTAACACTTTTTCTTTATGGTAACAACACTAGTTTTGCTTCCATTATATAACAATGAAAAATATAACCGTTGTATCACATAAATTATGTTCATCCATTTTCCATTCGCATGATGTTTCAGTTACAAAAAGAAAAGAATAAAGAATAAATTACAATAACCCCTAAGGCGGAAGGCCTAAGGTAATGTTAAAATTATGAAAATACCCTTTCTATTTGGGTAATTACAACCACCTCTCAAATATGAATTGTCTTTTACGTCCACACTTGCGGTGTCAAATTTAGTGGAATCTTCTAAATTATATGAAATATTCTCCAATTTTATCATATTCGAGCTCAACAATTTGAAACAAGATAATTATAAGATGTGTTTTTTGACTTGTAAATATCAGATTTTAGTTCATGAAAAACAGTATTTTTGCACAAAACGAGTACGAACTAAATAATGTTTCACGGAATCTAGAAGATTATGTTGAATTTGATATCATAATACTGGACGTGTAAGAAGATTTATAGTTGAAGGGGTGTTTGTAATTACCAAATATGAGGGGTATTTTCGTAATTCGACCTTATCTCATGGGTTTACTGTAATTTACCAAAATAAAACCACTGTCCGAAACAATTTCTGATTTCTTATCTATAAGCAATAACCATCTGTTGACAAGAGAAAATGGTGCTGTTATTGTAAGAAAAAATGGAAAGTATAGCTGGGAATTGAACAAATCGCACTATCCACTTGAGTATTGGATTCTCATAGTTACTATAAAATTGTAAACATACTCATATACTAATATCTTTGTCTTAACACCATCACTAATAACAAATTAAAGCTGCTTTTTTTTTACAAGTTCGAATCCCCTTGCCAACGGTCGCTAGGTCGAGCTTGTCACACATGGTTAGCCTAGTGTGGTTTACATCTCTCGTATGGTTTGCAAGCTATTATACGAGAGTGTAGGTTTACCCAGTGCACCTATATGGTTGGCTGCGGGTTCCTGCATTATCAAAAAAAAAAAAAAAAAAAAATTAAAGCTGCTTTCAGAAAAAAAATTATTTAAAAAATCAGCAGAGAAAAATATTCCCCCAAACCCCTGTTACACTCTTGTCCCTTTCACACTCCCTCTTGCTATTTTTCTCCTCCACTGTACACACTCCTTTTTCCCTTTCCCTTCAAAACAAACTCTCTCTCTCTCTCTCTAGAAAACCAGACCTATTTGTTTCCTACTTTCTCTCTCTAGAGTTGGAGCAGATACACTCATTAGATAGAGAGAGAGAGAGAGTAAAGAAAAGATGAGAGGGCCATTGGGGCCGGTGATCGGTAAGTACCCATCGTCTAGTGGTGATGTGAATGGTGGAGTTGGGAATGATATAATTAAACACAACAGAAAATGCAGAGATGTGGCGTTTCTTGTTGTCTTCATTGCCTTTTGGGTGGCTATGATTGTTAACTCCAGCTTTGGCTTCAACCAAGGAAACCCATTGAGGTAATTAGCTAAAACCAGTTGCTTTCTTGATTTAGTTTATGGGTTTGCTTTACCCTTTATGCAGCCCTGATCTGTAATTTTTTAGTTCTTCTTGTTGGAAAAAAATGCTGTCTTTTTCACTTATCTTTGATGGGAAAAAAAATTGAATCTTTACATTTGGGAGAGGGTTTTAGAGACAGAATTATTGGTGTTGTGTGTGCCCTTTTGACGAATTTTCATAAATTTAGGGCGCAAGTAGCTGTCTTCGAAAAGTTGTATTTAAGTGTGTGAATCTTGCCAAATTTTGGAATTACAGTGAAAAATGTGGTATTTCCGATTTTCGGATTACTTCTTATGACTTCAATTGTGAACTTATACAAGTTATTAGGGACCGGTGAAGCTAAAGATCGAATCTTTTTAGATTATAAACATTTCAAGAATTACTCGTTTTACTTATATTTAGGAATTACTCTGTTCTTACATTTGGGAGTTTCAAGGCTTTTTTGTTTTGAACCCTCTGTTTTTATTGTTGACAAGTTTTAGAGACGTAATTCTTGGTGTTGTGTGTGCCCTTTTGATGATTTCACAAATTTTAGGTGCAAGTAGTTGTTTTTGATAAGTTGTATTTAAGTGTGTGAATCTTGCCAAAATTTGGAGTTACATTGAAAAATGTGGTCTTTACCATTTTCGGCTTACTTCGTATGACTTCAATTGTTAACTTGTAGAAGTTATTAGGGACCGGTGAAGCTAAAGATCGAATCTTTTTAGATTAGAAACATTTCAAAAATTACTCTTTTTACTTATATATGTAGGAATAACTCTGTTCTTCGATTTCCCTTTCATTTAGTTGCCTTTCGTATGTGATGCTACAGATTAAGCTATGGGCTGGACTACAAAGGAAATGTATGTGGCGATAGACACGCCGATCGAGACCTCCATGAATTGGAACTGAGATATTGGTTAAACCCTAATCAGGTTTACCAAACAGGTTTAAAGGAGAGCAAGTTCCAGCTCTCGAATGCTCGGAGTATTTGCTTGTTGGACTGTCCAATCCCGTCCGAAGACTCCCTTAATTGGGTCTGTGACTATCCCGAGGGAGATATCCATCTCTCAATGGATGATTGGATTGATAGAAACTATGATTATTTCGCTGACCTCACTCCTATACTCAGAAACTCTTCTCTTCAGCTTCAGGGCCCGTGCTATCCCGTTATATTTCCGAGTGTTAATGGTAAATTTTTTTTACGAGTGTTGCCCTTTTTCTCGTTTGAAAATGTTATGACATAAGGCAAACAAGATTTGATTTTTTCTATTCTTGTCAGTTTATTGGACGTGCCAGTTTATTGCGCGTGCGTCGAATGTATCTTTGAAGCATTGGGAGCAGATGGGTGGAGTGAAAGTCATAGAGGATATTGCAATTGATAAATCCATCCACAAATCGATTAACTCTCGTTCGTCGGTTCTGAAGGTGAGATAAACTATTGAAGACATGTTATGTCACTTTCTTGAAAATTTGGGTATATTTGCCTCATGATCTAATCGAGTTTTCGTTCATTTGTTGACCGTTATGCCCTTCTTGTTTATCGGCAGAGATATGTGGCTGATGTAGGAAAATCTTGGCCTGTACTTCTTGTTTGCGGAGGATTTCTGCCTCTGTTTCTATCGGTCATTTGGCTTTTGATGATTCGTCATTTTGTGACCGGAATGCCGTGGATTACTGTCGTTGTTTTCAATGTTCTAATTGTATCTGTCACTATGTTTTACTATTTGAAAGGTTAGCCTTTTGATCTCTTCAAATTTCTTTAGGGTCTTGTTTGGGTGAATGGAACTAATCTTTTATGGATTTTATTAAGATATTTTTTATTAAAACAATTTAACTGAAATGCTCTCTTCTTCAGCTGGATGGATTGGAAACGATGCCATCTCTCCAATTATCGGTGAACACGACCCGTATTATCATGTATCTGCAAGGGTATGATTTCATATTCATTTCAATGCTCTAAGTTAAAATCCTTCGAGCTGAAATTTACGAAGAAAAAAAAAGTCCTTTTTTTACGAGCGACGCTTTTATTCCAATTTCAAGCCTCAATGATTTATTACGAAAAACCCAATGCAGGAGCTAAATCATCTCCATGCAGCTGCTGTTTTCATGACTGTTCTAATGATTGTCTCTTTCCTATCATCGATCGCCATAGTGCGGCGTATTCTCATGGCGACATCTGTCCTTAAGGTAATTCTTACACGCCTTCTTCACTTTCTTGTTTTTTTTTTTTCAATAATTTCGTCTTATGTTGTTCGGATCGTTTTTTTTAATGATTTATAGGTTGCTGCTAAGGTTATCGGAGAAGTACATGCACTGATTATTTTTCCGGTTATACCATACGCAATATTGGCTATCTTTTATATGTTCTGGTTATCGGCTGCTCTTCATCTATTTAGTTCCGGAAACGTCGTGCAGAATGATTGTGGTGCTAATTGTTGTGCTTATGATCTCAAAATGATGAAATTAAGCTGTAATAGTTGCTGTGGTTATAACGTTAAATACACTTCTCATATCGCTGCTTCGATTCTTTTCCACCTGTTCGGTGGCTATTGGGCCACACAATTCTTCATAGCTTCCTCGTCGACCGTGATCGCTGGCTCTGTTGCTTCTTATTATTGGGCTCGTGGCGAAACATCGGTAAAGACACTTATGCAATTATTTTTTTTGAATATTTTTATATGTTTGTTTTTCTCGTAACGAATCTTGTTTATCGTTTCGGAAAACAAATGCAGACAGAGATACCGCTTCTTCCCGTTTTTTCTTCGATGAAGCGGCTCGCGCGATACAGTTTAGGATCTATTGCTCTCGGTTCTTTAGTTGTATCGTTCGTTGAATCAATTAGGTTTATACTCGAATCTCTTCGACGAAAGCTTAAACTCGTTAATCCTAATCATGGAAGCTGGATTGGAAAGGTTGTGTACCAAACTTCACAGGGTTGTATTAGGTGTATCGGTTACGTCATCAAATCCGTAAACCGTAATGCCTACATTATGGTATGTCGAAATTTTGGCTTTGCAGATTTTATTTTTTTATAATGAGATTTTTGTCAAGATTCGATTTTTTTTCCTTTTCCCAGATTGCAATAACAGGAAAAAATTTCTTCAAAGCTTCGGAGATTGCAACGGAATTGATAATGAGTAACATACTTCGAATCGGGAAGGTGAATGTGATAGGAGATGTGATTCTCTTTCTTGGGAAGCTATGCGTCAGTCTTACGAGTGCGCTCTTCGCCTTTCTAATGTTGGACACTCACAAATATAAATCGGCACATAACAAGATTTCGTCTCCACTATTCCCTGTTCTGGTAAGCAATATATATATATATATATATATATATATATATATATATTTGCTGATGAAACGCGATGAATTGAATCGAATTTGAATTAAATGAGGTCTTTAATTTGTGTTATTATATATAGGTGTGCTGGGGATTTGGGTACATAGTGGCAACTCTGTTCTTCGGAGTGGTGGAAATGTCAATTGACACAATTATCCTTTCGTTCTGCCAAGACTCGGACGAACACCAAGGAACTGCTCAATACGCTCCTCCTCTGCTTATCGAGACTCTCAACGACCAAAACGAGATGCAAAGACTGACTCAATGAGTCGTTTTTCAAATGACTTTCGATAACTTTTTTTTTTTTTTTTTTTTTTCCGTGTTTTGCATTTGTTTAATAGTACACTTGATTTTCTGATGCAGAAGTAATTCTTTTTAGTTACTTGGTTTTTGGCCTCAATTGCTGAGCACACCATATAAGCAAACCCTTAGATGTATGTGTATATATATATATGAGTTTGGAGATTGAAAGAATTCTTGGTTAAGGGAATGAATGCCTCAACAGTTTTATGCTTCAGGTTTTTCAAGTTTTCTCTTCCTTAAAATTTATAATTCAAGCAAGGAAGAAATACATTAGGTGTTGTATAACGAATGTCATAAATGCCGTTTTAGTATAGTTTTGACTTCAAACGTGGTTTCGACCATTTTCGAGGCTGAATTTGGCATAAATTAAAACATGGAATTTGCACTTTTTTGAATTAGCTTACCTTGAATCAAGCTGATTCAAGTTGGACTAGAAAGCTAACTCAAAGAAGTATAACTTCCATGGTTTGAGTTTTGCCAAAATCAGATTAGAAAATAGTCAAAATCATGTTCGAAGTCAAAACTATATAAGAACATTGAAACGATATTTAACGTTTTAGTTCAAAGAAACCCTAATGATTCTAAAATAGAAAGTGTAGTATCCAAATCCAAACATCATTGAAAAGTAAAATTTCATTAGGTGTTCATCCTTTATCCAAACAAAGTGAAAACCCTTCTTCGCCGCATTCATCGAGAAATGAAGAGAAAATTCTATAATCATAAACTAAGCTTTCAAATCACAATTTTTACTTTCTCAAAATTCATTCGAATCAGTCCGGAAAACGAGCATCAACTCAATGATTAATGCAAGGAATTGAGATACAGTAAAATGAAAATTTCTGAGGTCATTATAAAAAAAAAAAAAAAAAAAAAAAAAAAGGTGCCCTCAATGTGAGTTCGTAATCTCAAAGAGAACAAATAATATGAAATTGTTCATTTCTTTGCAAAACTGAGCTTGCTCGGATCAATCTCGTCTGCCCGAACTGATATAATCAATCCATTTCCTTCTTCGGTCCAAGGAATCCCCTCCTTCTCCAAAAGCTTAGTAATCTGCAGAGTGATATTTTTTACCATGCATGTATGATGAATGATTAAATAAAGTGAATCAAACCACTACTTATAATAATTATCAAGGAATATAAAGAAAACACATACAAGGCGCTTTCGCCGCTTATCTTTCTGGTCACCGGTATTGGTCCCGACTGCAAACTTCAAGTAGCGAATAGCTGGGAAAATAAATGTTATTAGAGCCCCGTTTATCATGGTTAAAAAAACAAAAAAAAGAACCAATTGTTTAAGAAAATATGTCGAGAAAAGACAACCCACTTGGCAAACCAGAAAGAGAAGTCAATTGAAATTTCAATATGTACAGAGCTTCCTTTGGCTCGAGATGATGCATTTTAATAGAAAATTCTTCATCCTCATCTCTGCGGGCAAAAAAATGAAGGGCGTTTAGGTCATTTCACATGCAAATGGAGCAAATGAGTATAAAGAAGAAGAAAAAATGTCCGCACCTGTTATTGATGAGTTTTTGAGCAGATTTTTCATCCGTTTCTCGGGCTTTCATCATATAATAATTACCCTAAAAATATAAAGCAACGGCAAAACAAAACAATTGTCACATGTGTGAGGGAGTCAAAATTCAATTTTTAATCACTCCCATTGTGCATGTCATTTTAAAAATTATTAAAGTTTTAGTGCAAGACTTAAGGAGATGTGAGACGTACCTCTTCCTTAAGTCTATACGCATTTTCGTAATCCTTTTTAATATATGCATCCAGAGCCTGCAGAAAAAAAAAATATAAACACTTGATCAACGAACTGTGTAAGTCTATACCATATGTTATTTGCAAAGAGAAAATACTTACAGCTTTAAACGATTCCTTCATCGAAGCCCAGTACTCCGTCAAAGCTTTGCGCATGTCGTCATAGCTCATCTGATTTTCATCATCATCTAGTATACCAACATTTGCATTTACCAGATATGAGTGTATACGCATCTTTTTTCACACGGTGAAATGAGAAATACGAAGAAAGCAGAAATGAATAACACCAAAGCAAAGCACTCACTTCTATGATTAACTAGTTGTCTTGTAATAAAAGTAAAATCCTCTATGATTATGTCGTCGGGCGGTTTGGTTACAATCTGACCATGAGGTGACCGCCTAACTGGTCTAATTGGGGTAACCTCCTTTTCTTCAAATCTGTCAGGCACACTGAATAGTGACTCTAAAACTTCTCTTTGAACGTCCTTCGTTTTCGTCTCTGCCCGAGGTAATATTAATTCACCTCCATTCTCCACATTAGTGTCCAATCTGAAGAATGTTCAAAAAAGAAAAATTAAAAAAATCGTATTATGAGAGGAAAAAAGAGCTCATGTACATCACTTGCATCAAAAGATACACCAAATCAAGCACCATACCTTCTAGAAGAAGAAGGTTTCGCATTTCCAGCACCTACGCCAATAACATCATCACTCTTTTCCAGGGTTTGTACTGACATATCGAGGAGTTTATCAATGCTCTGCGTATTTTAGGAAGAAAACAAATGTGTTTGTCAAGATTCTGGAAATATGCACAACATTCATCCCACTATTTTTTACTACATTTTTAGAGAGTAAAATAAACTACTAAGCTTTTGGAAATGTATAAATCGAATATGTTTTTTCGTTATCAATCTATCTCATCGACCTTCAATACCAATAAATCAAATCATCTTTTCGTTTCCGTTTATTCGTCTCACACACTTTAGACATTAAATTTCCAACTTCATAAATAAAAAAAGACGGTTAGTGAACATGAGTATAAAATGAAAACCGTTAATAGATGCTGATAATTTAACCAATACTAGACTTACCCTTGACATATTGTACCCACATTGACCTGCAAGTTGAAAACATATCACAGTTAGATGCAACTGTTGCAAGATACAACAGAATTAAAAATGGAGAACCAGAATATAAACTGACGTTTCTTTGCAAAGATGTATAGAAGGCTTAAACTATGGGTCAAGAGAAAATTGTCTAGATATTAGTACGATAACTAATACCAATTGTTAATAGTTTTTAACCAATATTGCTTACCAATAACGTCCTGTATTACACTCTTGTCGAGCTGAAATCCCTTTCCAAGCATCTTAAAAAGAAATTCTTCAAGATCACTATCCATGGATTCACTCTGTGAGCCAGAATCCAACTCCGGTTTCTCATCCCAAATCTCAGATACTGGAATATCATCCGAGTTTATTATCACCGGTTTCGACTTCTCATTCAATCCATTTGACTGGGATTTGGGTCTAATGTAATCCTTTCCAATCACATCAGACACAGTTCCCATAGACGCTGAACCCTTTTTCGGCTTTGTTTTACCAATATCAACATTTTCCGAAATGTTATTCGATGGGCACACAGAAGAAGAAGAAGAAGAAGGGCTACTCGTGTTTTCAGCATTGTTCTGTGATTTTGAGGAACAAGTTCCAGAAGTGCTGCCCTGCATGTTACAGAGTATTTCAGCTGTAGAATTCAAGTTTCGACCTGTTTCACAGTAGGCCGAAGCTATATCCTTAAGGGAAACAACAGAACCAAAAGCTTCCAGCAATTGCTTAAGATTCTTCTCGTCAACTTCGGTACACAAAGAACTTGAAGCAAATGCTTGGGCTTCCATCCTTCACATGACAGAAAAAAAAAAAAGCTGAGTTAAGATTTTAACGTAAGAGGATACGCAGTAAGAAATTCAATAGAGACAGGTGAGGCACATTCCTAATTTAGTATCTAGAAATCTCGATGAAACCGTACTGTAATGGTTAATTTAGACCATGCATGAGAAACCGTACATAGAAATTATCCAGTAAAAGAGTTCAACCTAATCCGTAAGACTGCAGAGATCAAATGTAAGTGAGTAATTCATTTGCAAAGAAACCATAACTTATGTTATCTTGATAAAACTACTTTCTCCTACAGACTAATAATGAATGAAGAAATCATCGCATACTCATTAATTACAGAAAGTTGATCATAAAAGCGTCTTAGAGAAATTCATCGGAAACCTATTCAAATGTTTTTATTCTAATCCACGCCTGCAATGCAGATATGTAGACTTCAAGACAAGATGAAAACAACCAACAGCCATATATGAAAACTATTTTTTTTCATAAGAAAAAACACAATCCTCAGAATAGATCTAAGGAATTCTTCAATAATGGCTGTCATCGTAAATAAAAAGTTAATAATGAGGATACATGTTACGCGATGAACTGGAAAAGCTGCATCTGGGCAAATTCAGATTATACTAAAATTGAAGCCCAAACATCATCAATGTTATTTTGTTTAATTAAACTATATATTACTTTCAAAATGTGCTAACCACTCGATTTAGATATAGAATGCAGTACATGTTTCCCGACACCAAAAAAAAAAAAAAAATCGCGGGACAAGATTTTGCATCTCCATAAATAATTAAAGATCAGTGAACTATGCAAATAAATAAGAGAAAGTGTGTGGGAAAAAATCCTACCTGAGAGAACGGGTTATTTTCTCGACAATGCCGCTCTGCGTATTAGTAGTGTGTGTACACTGAGATGTTTCTAATAGAAGAATAACAAAGGAGACTAGGATGAGAAAGGGAGAAAGTCATACACTTTAATTGAAGATCTATTTTAAAATGAAAAACAATCTAAAAAATTTCAATAAAGCAGCGAGCGATATTTCTTATTTATTGCGTACAAGTCAGATAATAAAAGCAGAAAACCGCTAAATGCAATGAAATCTGCTGTAGCACACAGATAATAAAAAACGCAATCCAGCACAGAGGATTCTAAGCCCTATTTTAAATATAAACGTACATAAAACGCGTGCGACATTGACAAAAGTGGGTAACCAATTTCAAAGGCAGCAAACCTTTTGTCAACTAGATAAAAGAAAATCAACCGGCTTTGATAACATCGTAAATTCTATTAATTGATGAAATCCGAAGGAAAAAAAAATGTGTATGGTAAAAATGAAAGGCCTATTTGAATGTATTAATGCTCATTCGTATCGGCAATGTAGATATGGTGAATTTGATAGAACAGGAAACTTAATAATGAGAGCACAATTCGGCATATTTAAAATTCAAACAGAGGTCGACGAAATTCTTCAATCGTTGAAGAAAATAACTTCAGAATCCATCTAAGCAATTCATTTCCTAAACAGCAAATAAAGACGCAGGGCCTCAATCGTTCGAATAAACGACTTATGAACATGATAATTAGGACAACGGATTATCAAACTCAAATATGAATCCAGAAAGCCATCAAAATTACAGTATGTACCGACATTATACCTTACTCTAGGAATTAATATTCATATAATCCCTCGTCCCGAATTAAAGCTCGAATTTCATTATCGGAACGCCATAAAAACGATTCAAAAAATTCACAAAATTAACCAGTTAGTTTCCCTCTTCATGCACATTGGCCTCAGTGACAAATTTCCCCTTCCATTTTTACTCCAAAGAGTTTCATGCATGTATACAATCACATTCAACATTAGTGAATATATAATCATCTTCAATCAATTCCTAAAAAATAAAAAAAATAAAAAAACTCTCATTTGGTTAACTACAGCCCGATTCAACACTGCATTCAGAACAACAAAAATCATAATCAGGAAAAACAAAAAAACGTAGGGATTGAAAATAAAGAGAGATATTATTTCTGATTCATGCTACGGAAAAAAAAAAGGACACTCAATCCACATTACACTGAAAAAATTAGGAAGAAGAGAAATTAAATCGTTACTTGAAGAATCGGCAGAGGAAAAAGCGTCCCCCTTTTCTCGGGAGAGACTGTGTGTTAGTGTACCACAACTGTGTGTGGGTTTGTAACAGACGGAAGCAAAAGGAGAAAGGAGAAGGTGACTCAGAGAGTCAAAAAGGAGAAGGAAAAAGTGTACATCTTTTCTTTTATATGGGAATGAATGAAATGAAATGATTGCTGTGAGGCAGGGCATGTTTATTTAATGACTTTTCAATTTTTGTTACTAGACATTGGAATTTAATTAACTTAATAACTATAATTACAAAATGTATTATATTTATTGATATGCTAAATCCCACACCAATTTTACTAAATCATGCAAATAATTGAAATTTGAGAAAACAATTCGAATGGATAAGAATTTAAGTAATTAAAAAGGCATAATGAAATTAAAAAATATTAAATAAACTTAAACTCACTTTTTTATGATTATTCACGTGAAAGATTAACGAATTTTGAGTGACTTGGAAAAAATCATCATAGAAAAAAGTTGGAGAGAATATAAATAGAGAGAGATTTTTTTTAATTTATATGTGGGATTTAGCAAATTTTAGTGTGGGATTTAGCATGCCCCTTATATTTATTGTAATAATAAAATTAATTAAAGATATTTAAATTAGTAATTGTTGGTCCCGATACATAAAACGGGTAGTGAATTTAGTAAATTGGTTGAACAAATTAATTAGTGAAAATACGAAAAGATTAGCCGAGGCGAGTTGACTCTGTCCTTAAGACGAAATTTCCCCGCAACGGTGCTAACGGATTAAATGGAAATCGTCTCCCAAGATACAACGGCTAAACTTGGAATAGGAGCACTCCAAATCCCAAGTACGACGAACTGTACTTTGTGTAGAACTTTTCGAGAGAATCTGTGAAGGGTAGGCTTAATATGTAGTAGGCTTGTTTTTTTGATTGAAGTAAGGAATTGTGGGAAAGTTAGGGTTTATTTATAAGGTTCAAAAAGTAGTGTCCTTTTGGAGTAAAAAGGTACCTTTTGTTTGAATGGTTGCACCATTTCGAATTGAGCCAATTGGGAGTGGTTGCACCATTTCGAGTTGAGCCGAATGGTTTGCATTGGTTCGGCCGCACCAATTCAGACCAGTCAGACCAATCGAGATGGGCTTCGAGTAATAAGGGCCCAATGGGTTAAAAGCCCATGACCTAATATTTTTTATATATATACAGCTCACTACTTCTCTACTTTTCCAATGTGGGATAACTCAAAATCCCACTTTCCTTATATTTTGAACTAGTAATTTTTTCATTCACCACAAAATTGGTTCTAATCCAAAATTCATTTATATACTCAATTTAGACCGTACAATAACATTGATAAAAAATTGTTCATGACTCAATTTTTAACCAATTTTCCCAACAATCCCCCACATGAATGAAAACGAGGGCGTCGATTCTCTCTAGAGTTCCCACGAATAGTATTGCATCGGGATAGGTAGCATATAGCTTTGAACCTTCCGTAGTGGAGTTACATCGGATTTACTAGGCTGAGTAGTGAACGCGATGTCTTGAACTGTCAGCCGTTCGTGTAAACCAAGACAATGCAACCCACACAATACTATTCTCACATTTCCTTAGTTCTCATGATTGTGTCCATTTTGGCCATGGACACACATCTTGGATTCATAAGTGTTTGTCAAGTTTTTGAAGCGGCCCTCACTTCATACACTTACATAGGTGATCTCCTATTAAAGGTATCCTGCCAATACCTCACATTTTGTTATAAGTTTTTGGAATCATTAAAAGCGTTAGCTTACCCTTTACCCTTTCTGCAGGTAGCACTATTATCTTTCGCGGGAATGAGTTAGGAATGAGTTCCTTAGTGCTCAACTGAACTTTCTTAGCTTAGTTGTCCCTTTTGAACCAGTTCTTGGGATCTCCAGTCAGCATGGTTGGGTTACCACCAAGATTGTCCTTAATTTATGGGTTTTAATCCCATTCCACTAGATAGGCAATATGTTTGATCTCTTTAGTTGACTTTTAGTCGCGGATCCGCTATTAACTATTGATTTTCATAATCAATATTATTTCTTTTGAGATCAATTGCCTAATGGTCTTATGTGTACGATTGTATCGATACTTGCCATTATACATGTCGTTTGTGCCCTTAACGTAACCGATTGGTTATCACAATTTATTCATAATTGTAGACACCGACTTAGTCCAACACGGAACATCCTCCAATAATTTTATGAAGTTTATTCAACTTCTTTTCTAACCTTATATTAAGTTGTATATTCGAATTTGACCATGAATCGAGCTATTCAATTTTGTTTGAGGATTTCCAAGATACATAATCTTAGTGGACTCATATATCCAATGTAGTTTCCTAATACAATTGGATATTTTCTTTAATGTAATCCATTTAAAGGCGATACTTAGATTACCTAAGAACCCTTATAATATCATTGAATGATTATTTATTTTGGAATTACATATTTACTAGTTTGCAATTCATTATGCTGCCAAACTATCCAAAAATGTTTGTAGTTGAACCCTTGTTCATCATTATTTTTGGCAAAGTAAAGAAGGTCAATTTTCTAGTAGTGTCTCAACATGAGACTTTCAATAAGACTATCTTTGTCTTAGTGAATTTAATCTTTAAGATTACATCGTCTAGACCCTCGTCTTAAACATTTAATTTTTATTTTTCCAATACTATCTCATGATTATAATGTAACCTATAGACACATATTTCCATGTGCTTTTAATATAAACACACTGGTCACACTCGTTATTATGAGAACTATTTGATAACACATTTTTATCAAATATTACTTTAGAATCACTTAACGAGTTTCAATATCTTGTTATAAATAATCAAGATTTTCCATAGCTGTTTAATTTAGCTTTATAGGACCACCGTTTTAATTCTTCTTTTGAATAGTCCATTTAAACATTAATGGTTTACTACTTGGAATATTTCAATAATTGTCCTTTGTTCATTTTATTACTCATAAGTTATAAAATCAAATCAAAATCAAACATATTGATTTTATTTGCCATCTTGTTGTATCTTGGTTGTTCATCACTTTGATGATTTACCACTCTCACATATTTAAACTTGGTTGTTCATCACTTTGATGATTTACCACTTACACATTTATAAGTTCTCTTGTTTAGAACTTATTTATTTTCTTATTTTACAAGAACCCACAATATAATCAATTTGCATCAAGAGTGACTATACTAGGCCGTATATTAACTTAGGTACTTTTTTACCTTGGCCTAAACATCCCCCACATTTCTAAATATTAATGTGGTTACTGGTTAGGGCCTACAAACCCTCACATTTCTAAGTGTTTATGTGGTTAGCTCGGAATATTTAATTTATGTGGTTAGGGCCTAAAGACCCCCACACTTCTAAATATTAACGTGGTTAGCTCGGGATATCTAATTTCGCCCACAAATTCTAGAGTATGTATTCTAGAATTTATCAATATAATATCCATACTTTTTCCAAAAGTTTTAGTAATCATTTTTTAATTCATTTGTCAAAGTTGACACTTTCCAACTTTCATTCACATAGAATTTAAATGCTTTGAAATCCTTATTTTTATTTTATTAATAAGGATACACAATACATTTCTTCTTTAGTTAGAGAAATATATTGGATCACCAAGATATTTAATTACAAAGTATTGTATTTCTTTTTCTCAAGAAAGCACAAAAGGATAAATCTTCTCAAGATACTTAAATCTTGTCAACAAATGAGATTTCTTCATTTTCCTCAAAAGAGAAAACTCGTCAAAATACTTAAATCTTGTTAATAAACAAGAGAATATTAATCTCTTCAAATGGTGGTTGATATCCTACTATTCAATATTAAAATTAGAATATATAAATTCTAATCTTAATCATTCATAATTTAGGATTGTATGTCCTAATAACATGCCGTTCAAAATTCAGCCAAATCCAACGATTTAATTCTACAAAACGAGCTCTTAAGTAAATTGCTCGAATTTTAACAAAGCATTTATTGTTGTTTACAATTATTTCGGATGTTTGGAAATCAAAATCCGATCTCATCCATTCACATTGTAGATCATCACCTTGTAAAAAAAATCAAATTGAACCAACAATTCGATCTTCTCTTATGTTCTTGAGACAAGAACTACTCATGTGCTCTCATGAATTGAGCTTCTATTTCTTTCTATTTTATTTCAATCATGCTTTTAGTTAAACAATAGTATGATTCATATATAAAACATATGTACATAAATATTATAATAAACATAATATGTGAGCACGACGTTCATACTAGTTGATCATAGAAAGAAACAATAGATCAAGCATGTTAGAATCCGAGAGGATTCTAATTTTGGTTTTTCAACACGTGTGAAAAACGCTATCTAAAGCTAGGGAAGTTTCCTTAATGCTTTAAACTCTTATTTTGTCATTAATTTATTTAATTATATAAGTCATATGTTAGCAAGGAATTTCTTGGACAAAGACTTTCCTTACTACATAATTTTGTTTCCTCACGTAAGATTCTCACTAACCTAATGGGCTCCAATTTTGTAGGGCTCTTCTATTCAGGAATATAATTACAGGAGTATCAACGTTTTGTTGTTCACGCCTTTTTGGAGAGAAAATTATATTTTTCTGCTCTTTTGATTGCTGCTCTAGGAACGTCTATTTTATCGAGAGAAGTTTTTCACAAAAAATATTTTTCCTCTCGTTTTGATTGTTCCATCGTGATACGTGATTTTCATAGAAAATATATCGGCTTCAAGGCTTTGTGGTGAAGACATCAAGATTCAAGGAGTATCACAAGTTTGCTTCTTCTATATAAAAAGAAGATCGGTTCTTCGGGAGAGGGGCTTAAACAGATCTCGGGAGGAGATCGATCCGCCGACTGAGGGATTCAGCGTTGAAGGGAGTTCAACCGTGCGGAGCAAGGGACGTGCTGCAAATTGAAGATTTATAATTCAGCGTAGTATACAAGAACGGCGTCAACAAAGAGGGAGTCTTTGTATTTTGATTAAGTCCTATTATTGTATTCGTAAAACTAAAAATTAGTAAATTTTATTTGCAGGTCCCAGTGGATGTAGGGTACAGTTGTATCCGAACCACATTAAATTTGTGTCTCGTTTATTTCTGTTTTTACAAACTGTTTCACGAACTGTTGCAACACTTCACGCAACAGTAACGAAAAACTGAATCTGACACAAATAATTTATATCTGCACGA